GGCTTGGAGCAGGGAGAATTATCGTCGTGAGGCACAACGACCGAAGACAAAGATCGCCCCAGTATAGCCTGTAACTGCTCTACCACTAGATGACAAAGTGATATATCTGCGAATGTTGCAGGATTCACTCTCTCTCTCTCTCCAGGCCTCCTCGTACGCTGTGCGGTAGGACCACGATCCCCCAAAAACGTTCCCTCTCTCCCTCTCTCTCTCCAAGGCCACACGGCACGTTTTCCCGGTATCACCGTAACCCGGCAGCAATCGTCCAAATCCCGCGCGGACGAAAAAACATGAGCGGAGGGAGGGAGAGAATCCAGGCCAGCGCGATGGACGTGAGAGCTCCGGGATGAATTCCTGGGAACGGCACTCCGAGTCATTCCGGCCGAGAGCAAATCACTCGGGGTTCAGCGCCAACTCCACGCGGCGGCTCTCTCCCGACGCCCGCACAAAATATAAATTAAAAACCGTAAACAATCTTTTCACTTTGCCAGGCGTAAGGCGACGCTGAGCGTGGAAATTCATGGCAGCAGCAAAGTGACTCCATAAACCACGTGACGCCGATTCTAAAATGTGGAGGGCAAAAGAAATCGAAGGACGCAGAGAAAACCGCCACCCGACCACGGCGAGACAGAGAGAGAGAACATGCAAGCAAATAAACAGCAGGCGTCAGGGTCGGGGTAGAAGCCACGACCTTCTGCATAGAAGGCGAGGTAGTCAACATCTCATAGCTAATTCTAGATGTGAAGCTTTCATGAATGCAAGGATTCATACTCTTTGGTTTTTTCGGTAAAGTCACGTAGGTGAAAAGAAAACAAATAAATCACAATATTTCGGAGGCAACACAAGCTTCCGCCTTCAGGTGAAACCGTCACAGCAAAATTGCCATATCACCTTGATACAGAGTATCTCATAGCTACCCCCCAGGAGCGACGCGACCCCAATGACCGCTGCCTCACCACGGCGGTTCGCGGTGGGAATCCGGCACGCCGGCCCGGCTAGCGCTGCCGCGGCGCTCGCCGCTCCTCGGCTTCACCCAACTCCCTTCCCTCTTGCCGGGGTCCGCCGCATCGGCGCGGCGCTTGCAGGTGCGCTTACGTGGCGGCCGTCTGGAATGCTCTCCCTCCTTCCGATATCGGGAGCTGGTGCACTTTGAAATCATCTCGATTTAGAAAATCTCATTCGCTTTGGAACTGTTCTTCGTGGTTTTGCTGTCCTTTCACCCGCACCTCTAATTAGCGAAGATAGCTACGTACGGTGCGAAAGAAGTTCAACGTGCGTGCATACACCACAGTACGACACACCACACTGCTATACAATACACGATGCATTACACTACTACACACTACACTACTATTCCATGCACCACTAAACTACTAAATACTACACAAATCCACACACTACACCACTACACAACATTGAGAACCCATTTCTGTAGAACTGCTTGTTGCTGTTGAGTTTGGTTTGTTGTCCTTTCCCCGGCACCTCCGATTAGTGCCCATGGCTCCGGAACGGCACGAAAAGAGTTCAACGCGCGGACGTGCGGACGCACCCTGTGAGCGTGAGAAGGCGGTCAAAGGGTGGGGAGGGCGGGGGCGGGGGCGACCCTAAGCCAGACTGACGTTCCCCGTTTCCGCCGTCGGGAGCCACCGAGTGGATTTGGTCCTGGAGGGATTTGAGTTGCGGCGTCGTCGTGGTCACGAAGCTGCCACACGGAGTCGCCCCCCCCCCCCCCCCAGGAGTTTGATGAGCACGGCAGCGGAGTTCCTCCCTCCCAGCGCTCGCTCACCGCTCGTGCGTCACCCATTCCCTTCCTCTCCCTCCCCTCGTCCCTCCACTTCGTCCTGTCCCTCCCCCATAGCCCCTTCGTGACCGCCCCCCCTCCCCCCCACGTGCCCTCTGTTAACGGTCAGAGGGCACGCTTGCTGGAAACCTCTGTCGCAGCGTAGCGCCTGGAGCTGCTCCGTGCGAACGTTCAAAATGAGATTCGCCGTGGCAACGCCGCCACCGCCAAAACCCTGGCGGGCCACCAACCCCCTGCCCCCCCTTCACTGATGGGGCGCACCGCTTGAGATTCCCCCGGCGGCGCCGGCGGCGTCGGCCGCTCGCTGTCCCTTCCGCCCAATGCCCAGGACAAGCGGGGTTTGGCTACGCGCAGTGACCGGGAGGTTCAACGCGCACGAAGAGGCACCGCGGGGGGGGGGGGGGTGGGGATCAGGCATGGGCGACCATTGCCCCCCGCCGCCCTCACGAACAACCTTTGGAGGCTTCCCCCTGGACACTGACAAACAAGCGACAAACAACGGCAGCCATCACAAGGGTGCGCGCGCGCCAGCTCGGTAAGGATATGGGTTGCACACTACCTTGAGGCACCAGCAGCGAGGCCGTGTGCTCTGCCGCAGGACGTAGAAGGCGATGGGAGCCAGCAGCGGGTAGGGGAGGCCCTCCGTGGCCGAGCTCTTCCCGGCCTCCAAACCATCGCCGCCGTCGTCGCCGCCGCCGCCATCGCCGCCGTCACCACCGGCGGCTCCACCACCGGGGGTGGCCGTGGAGGTGGCGCGGTTCGGCGCGGCCCTCCCCGCCGGGTCCCTGCCGCTCGCTCCCGCGTCGTAGATGTGGACGAAGGCGGTGGAGGAGGAGGAGGGGGGTGGTGGTGGTGGTGGTGGTGGTGGAAGCAGCGGACCGCCAGCGGTGGAGGCCGCGGGGGGGTGGGCGGCTCCGGGGGTAGCGGTGGACTCCCGCTGCTGCTGCTGCTGCTGCGGTTGCTGCGTGGAGTACGCGGCGGCTCTGCCGAAGGTCGGGCGAGCAGCGGGAGCGGCGGCGGTGGGGCGAGCGCCATCGTCCATGGCAGCGCCGCGCCGGTGTCCCCGGCTGACGGACGGACGGAAGGACGCGGTGGATTAACGGAGGGACGGGTGGAGAGACAAGCGGACAGGCAGATCGGGTGAAGGGAGAGACAGATCGACAGAGAGACAAAGGGACAGAGAGACAAAGAGACGGACGGGGGAGAGAAGCAGATGGACAGAAGGGCAGATGGATGCATGGAGAGATGGAGGGACAGACGAACAGCCACCACGAGGCATCGCCACGAGGCATCGCCACGAGGCATCATCACGAGGCATCACCACGAGGCATCGCCGCGAGGCATCGCCGCGAGGCATCGCCGCGAGGCATCGCCGCGAGGCATCGCCGCGAGGCATCACCACGAGGCATCATCACGAGGCATCAGCCACGAGGCATCGCCGCGAGGCATCGCCGCGAGGCATCGCCGCGAGGCATCGCCGCGAGGCATCGCCGCGAGGCATCGCCGCGAGGCATCATCACGAGGCATCACCACGAGGCATCATCACGAGGCATCGCCGCGAGGCATCGCCGCGAGGCATCGCCGCGAGGCATCGCCGCGAGGCATCGCCGCGGGGCATCATCACGAGGCACTCCCCACGCACGTGAACTGCTTCAATCATCGGCCGCTCCACACTCGCCGAATGGGGGGGGGGGGGGGGGGTTAGCGATTCGAGTGGAAGCCACTGCCAGCGCTGCCGCATTCTATTGTTTACACTGCTGTTGCCCCCCTCCCTACCTGCCCCCCCCCCGCCCCCCCCCCCCCCGCCCCCGAGAGCAAAAAGCTCCCGAGACGCTCAAAAACTCCGAGCGGCAACAAGCAACACACGCGGCACCGCCAAAATCGCGGCGGATACGCGTCCCCGGCACACGCGTTGAATTGAGAGCGGTGCTTGTTGTTGTCGTCGTCATCGTTGTTGTTGTTGTGAGAGCTCGGGGAGGGACGAGCGAGGTGACGGAAGGTGAAGAGAGAGAGCAGATGGCCTGCAGCGTGGCGAGTAAGCGAGCGGGTGGGTGAGTGGATAAATGGGTGGGTGAGCAGATAAATGGGTGAGCGGATAAATGGGTTAGTGAGCAAATACAGAGGTGGGTGAGCGGATAAATGGGTGGGTGAGTAGATAAATGGGTGGGTGAGTAGATAAATAGGTGGGTGAGTAGATAAATAGGTGGGTGAGTAGATAAATGGGTGGGTGAGTAGATACATGGGTGGGTGAGTAGATAAATGGGTGGGTGAGTAGATAAATGGGTGGGTGAGCAGATAAATGGGTGGGTGAGCAGATAAATGGGTGGGTGAGTAGATAAATGGGTGGGTGAGTAGATAAATGGGTGGGTGGGCAGATAAATGGGTGGGTGAGCGGATAAATGGGTGGGTGAGCGGATAAATGGGTGGGTGAGCGGATAAATGGGTGGGTGAGTGGATAAATGGGTGGGTGAGCGGATAAATGGGTGGGTGAGCGGATAAATGGGTGGGTGAGTGGATAAATGGGTGGGTGAGTGGATAAATGGGGTGGTGGATATGGGTGAGCGGATAAATGGGTGGGTGAGTGGATAAATGGGTGGGTGAGTGGATAAATGGGTGGGTGAGTGGATAAATGGGTGGGTGAGTAGATAAATGGGTGGGTGAGTAGATAAATGGGTGGGTGAGCGGATAAATGGGTGGGTGAGTAGATAAATGGGTGAGTGAGTAGATAAATGGGTGGGTGAGCGGATAAATGGGTGGGTGAGTAGATAAATGGGTGGGTGAGTAGATAAATGGGTGAGTGAGCGAATAAATGGGTGGATGAGTGTTTTGCGAGCGAGTGCATGCCGGGGAGCGGCAGCGTAGTGGGTTAGCGCGGCCACGCTGCGAACCCAATGACCCCGGGTTCGATTACTGCTCGCGGCCTACACCGGTGACGATTATCTGAACCGTTCCTGGGCCTACCCTATGTCGACTCAGCCTCAAATGAGTACCTGGTGCGGTGTGTAAACATCGCCACTGGGGAGACAAAGGCGGCTGGGGCCTGGTGCTGGCCAACCACCTCTTCGTGCGCCGTGCCGGCCTTTATTGGTGCTGCTATTCGCGAACAGCACTTGTCCCAACAGTCTGTTACAGGCTGTACGGGGGATCTTTGTCTTTGGTGGCTGTGCCTCACGCCAATAAATATTCCTGCTCCAAGCCAGCAGCCGAGCAGCGCTCTTGACAGAGGCGCTCGCGAACAGCACTTGCTCCAACAGCCCGTGCGGCCTACACGGGTGACATTTGTCTTTGTGCACGCCCATTACATTTGCACAGCTCCTTTCGGGGTCAGAGCCTCTCGCTTCATTCAATCACTGCCCCTATTGTGAGGGCACCCGTACGGGGACACGATTCAGAGGCGGCCGCGTGTCTCCGAGGTCAGATCCTCAGAGGTCAGAGCCTCAGAGGTCAGATAACCTGAGTCCCAATCCGGGTCTCGGCTGCCCGGCCACAGCGATTACATGGGGGGGGGATTTCAAGTTTAGTGAGATGATGGACTCAGCCCTGTCACGGATCCCTCGCACAGAGACCCATAGACTCGCACAGAGACCCATAGACTCGCACAGAGACCCATAGACTCACACAGAGACCCATAGACCCACACAGAGACGCATAGACTCACACAAAGACCAATAGACCCACACAGAGACGCATAGACTCACACAGAGACCAATAGACTCGTACAGACCACCCATAGACTCACACAGAGACCCATAGACTCGCACAGAGACCCATAGACTCGCACAGAGACCCATAGACTCGCACAGAGACCCATAGACTCGCACAGAGACCCATAGACTCACACAGAGACCCATAGACCCACACAGAGACGCATAGACTCACACAAAGACCAATAGACTCATACAGAGACCCATAGACTCGCACAGAGACCCATGGACTCGCACATAGACCCATAGACTCACACAGCGACCCATAGACTCGCACAGAGACCCATAGACTCGCACAGAGATCCATAGACTCGCACAGAGACACATAGACCTGCACAGAGACCCATAGATTCACACAGAATAAGTTGTGATGAAACCGGCTTCTCAAGCGTAGCGAGTTGATGATGTCAGCCTGCCAACGAGCAAATATTCTACATTTGTATTTACGCAGCTCTGAGAATTGCCCCCCCCCCACCTCCCCCGCACCCGTCACCAGCGTGGTGAAATATGGTCAAAACAACCGCCGTCCTCCTGCCATGTGACAAACACAGCGTGGGGAGGAACCTCATCCAGCAGTGGACTGAGCAAGTATTTTTTTATTCGTGTTGAAACTCGGCAGCCCTCTATCTCTATTGGGGGCGCCACGGTGGCTGGGAGATGTTGACTACCTCTCTCGGTAGGTAGGACGTCGTGGGTTCCATCCCGATCCCCCTTGACGCCTGCGTCCAGCATTCCCTAACCGTTATTCACCAAACTCTTTGGTTATTTCGGTAAAGTCACGTAGGTATAAATTGAAACAAATCACGACGTTTCGGGCGCAACACAAGCGTCCATCATCAGGTGGGAAAGCTTTCCCAAGCGCCCACCTGATGATTATTTTCTACCTCCGTGACTTTACCGAAAGAACCAAAGAGTATGGATTCCTGCAGTCACGAAAGCTTCAAATCCTTATTCACCAACTTAGCTATCGGCGATGTTGGTTCTCCGCGAATCGCATCTGGAATTCTACACCACGACTGCCTGCAGAGAGAGAGAGAGAAAGTGATGACATCAAGTGATGAGAGAGAATGTGATTAGATGATGATGTTCACCACAAGTACCGCGTGTGGATAATGCAGCATTGATTCCTTGCGAAAGGCATCTCTTTTTTGAACATCTTAAAACAACTCCTGTTGTATTGACGGAAAGGGTAGACACCTATTATTATTTTGTGTACTTTGATACTGGCAAGAAAGGTCGCATGATACAGCTGCTGTTCGCCTATTGGCGTTGTTCTCTGGTCTGACATTGGCGAGACTAGGCCCTAAAGAAGGCTGCCACTGGTGATGGCCAATCACTTTCAAAGTCAATGCATCATCCCCATTTATATAAAAAGCTAAGTTGTGATTATGTGTGTCTTTTCAAAATGTTTAGCGTACTTCCCGACATGCAACATACTGGAAATTTGCCATGTGGGTACTTTCCAGACTGTACACCATGCAAAAGTTATAAAAAATAATTTTTTTTTTTGGGGGGGGGGGGGAAGCTCAATAATGCATTTATTTTTTGCACGGCAAATGAGCTGTGACGTCACATCTGTCATGTGACCCGCGCATGTGGAAGCACAACGTATTGTAGTGTAGTGGTTAGCGTTACGCTGCGCTACGAACCCGGCGACCCGAGTTCGATTCCCGCTCACGGCCACCACCGGTGACGATGATTTCAACCGCTCCTGGGCCTCCCCTAGGTCGACTCAGCCTCAAACGAGTAACTGCTGCGGTGTGTGAACATCGCCACTGGGGAGACAAAGGCGGCCGGGCGTGGTGGATCCAAGTCCCGGGCGAAGCCGGCTAGTAAAGCTCGTAGATTATACATCAGAGCCATGTTTGTTTGCACGCTCACCACGCGTGCCGTGCGTGGTTAACGCAGTAACTTGATTCCTTCTTCTATTCGGTGTTTGAACATCTTAACGCAACTCCTGCTGTATTGCCAGAAAGGAGTTAAACATATTCGTATTTTTCGTACTTTCATACTGGCAAAAAAGGCCCCATGATAGATAATGCGATGTGACAAATTGTTGAGATGAGGTGATTGTGAGACATTATGAGAAATACGGAATTATTTCCGGTAATTCATAAGGAAAAAAAAGGCTTCCGTAGGCCAATATCATTTTCGCCAAACTGGATTTTCGCGAGCATCTCCGGAACACATCCCTCGCGAATAACGCGGGAATGACGCATTTGGAGTTTGCGTGTCTCTCGTTCATCATCATCACGGTGGCTAGGAGATGTTAACTATCTCGCCTGGTGCACAGGAGAGCGTAGGTTCGAACCCGACCCTAACGACGCCTGCTGTATATTTGGAGTTTGCGTGTCTCTCTCTTT